ACGCTCCGCAGTGGCCAATGCAGCTGACCACGACATCACCCCCGAGAACATCGTGGGAGTGATGCTGCGGGGCGTAGAACTGTGGGACGCGGTCGCGGCGTTCGCGAACTCTGTCCTGGTGGCGAAGAGGGTCGATGGGTGTCCACAGGAACCCCGTCCAGGTCCTGTAGAATAGAGGAGGCTTGCTGTCTGCGTAGGCCAGCACGTCACGGGCCCAGACCGAAGTAATGCGATGAGCAGATTCCGGTCTGGGCCCATACGTGGGATCAGAGGTGGTTTTTGTGGGTAGGACCTTCGGCATAATTGCTGGAGGGGGAGTCCCATAGTCCCTCCGCAATACGTTGCGGGGATCTGCGTAATGCATTTCCAACTCTTTAAAAAAAAAGAAAAAAAAAATATTACATATCTAATCTAGATATACTAATATTAACATTTTTATTATATGTATATTACATTGTATCTCATGTAGATTTAGTAATAATGATATTGGTATTAAATGTATATTACATACATGATGGAGATATAGTAACAATTATATTGTTATTAAATGTATATTGCATATCTGAGGTAGATATAGTAACAATTATATTGTTATTAAATGTATATTACATATCTGATGTAGATATAGTAACAATGACATTGTTATTAAATGTCTATTACATTATATCTCATGTAGATATAGTAATAATGACATTGTTATTAAATGTATATGACATATCTGATGTCGATGTAGTAACAATTATATTGTTATTAAGTGCATATTACATTATATCTCATGTAGATATAGTAATAATGACATTGCTATTAAATGTAATCTTGTATATCTAATCTAGATATAGTAACAATTACATTGTTATTAAATGTCTATTAAATTATACCTCATGTAGATATAGTAACAATTATATTGTTATTAAGTGTATATTCCATTATATCTCATGTAGATATAGTAACAAATCTATTGTTATTAATTGTATATTACATTATATCTCATGTAGATATAGTAATTATGACATTGTTATTAAATGAATACTACATTACATCTCATGTAGATATAGAAATACTGACATTGTTATTAAATGTATATTACACATCTAATCTAGATAGAGTAACAATTATATTGTTATTAAATGTATATTACATTGTATCTCATGTAGATATAATAATAATGACATTGTTACTAAATGTATATTACATTATATTTCATGTAGATGTACTAATAATGACATCGTTATTAAATGTATATTACATATCTGATGTAGATACAGTAATAACGACTTTGTTATTAAGTGTATATTACATTATATCTCATGTAGATATATGAATAATGACATTGTTATTAAATGTATATTACATTATATCTCGTGTAGATATATTTATAATGACATGGTTATTAAATGTACTGTTTGCGTAAAAGAAGAAAGAAAAGAAAATTAAAAATATAAATTTATTCTTCTTATTTCTGGGCGATGAGAAAGGTATCGCTGCCACCAGTTCTGACCGCGTATGACGCGGAAGCGTCCTCTACGGTCAGGACAAATTAAAAGACGGAAATTTAGATAGAATTTATTTCCGTTGGATTCGTCAGTGTTCTGGGTCCCTATCGGGTCCCTCCTTGAAACTTTGTGTTGGGGTGCGTGGATTTGAAATATAAAATGATACAGAATGGAAAATGGAAGAAATGTTAATCCTATTTAGTGTGCAAAAGAAAATAAATTTAATTCAAAGTAACTATTGAAGCTAACACCACACTGAATTCCAAGTAACTATTGTATGAATACTGATAAGTTCTGTTAAATACCGATAATTACTATTAAATGAATTCAAATTAGAACAATACTGGTTTACAAGGGTAAAGATGCTTAACCTATGGTTCGATATAAATGTGATTGAAATCAGGAAAGATATTTGACCTTTGATTTATAATGCGACTTTCTAATATAGTTGAAAACGGATTTGTAGTTGTAATTTTAATGTAAGACGACTGGCTCGACCAAATATAATAGGAAAACGAGATGTTGGCGGTTTCTATCCGCAAGGTAACGACCTGAATGAAGAGGATCTTACAACCCCAGAAAGGGCTTTACAGGTCGTCCCTGATAAAATATCGGAGTCGAAACAATCGTCACACACACAATATCGCGATAGATCAAAAATTCGAAATGTTAATATCACGGATAAATTATAATTCGGCACCTGAACGTGAAAAACGAGACGATCTAAAATGAAGAGACTCTTACAACCCGTAGGCTTAATAGATCGCCCGTTTTGCCTTGTCGAAAAATCAATTATAATGCCGTGCTCGACAAATTAGTACTGAACAGGCCTACCGTGAGAATGTAGAATATAATATACGAGAAAATCGTTTGAGATTCGCTGGAAGATCGTTGAAAATCGCTGTGAGATCTGGAACAGCAAGAAAGATGAGAGGCTGATGTCGCACTAGCACTTGTTGTGCAGCCGTTTGCCGTTTATTGCAAATAAGAAATTAAATAAGACGTAACACAAGACGATTACAAATTTCGGAATAAATAGAATGATTAACGCGATTGAATTTAATACGAATATTACGCGATCAAACGGATTAAAAAGAAAGAGAAATGATAGAGATTTAATAGTGTGAAATGGTTTAACGTGCGCGTCTCTGAGTTCTTGCCGCGTATTTGGAATTTCACCCCGCGACACTCTGCCTACGATTAGGACTTGCCGCGCAGCTAAATTACACAAAGTACAAATTCGGCAACTCTATCTCTAGACGCACGGGCTCTCGTCACGACTTACTCGATTGTTCGACGAAAAGTAATCGGAATCGATCGCGATCCTGGCCGGAAGGGCCCGTCGCGAGGATGATGTCCTGCGTGGGGACATCTCGACAAATCATAGCGCGTGACGACAGCGTCGCGTGCGTCGCTTTGGCTAAAGGCGCGTGCTAGTTAAATTCCTCTAAATCACACTTTCTCTCTCTTCTGCTGTTCCATCTCTGTCTAACGGCTTTTCGGTGTTTCTACGCCGTAGAATTTCTGGAATGTTCTATTCTTTTCGATAATTTCTATATTAGCTATAAAATAATGCAAATATCAACTAACAGTTTAAATCAGTCTTATTAAGCAATAAATACGCGGTTAATTATGAATATGAATTATAACTGTTGTACTTTTATATATGAATAACGGGCCGGCTATCACGAGGTTTCCTAATTAACAATTGGCTTGTCCATAATCATTTTGTTCGCAAAGAAATCGATCAACAATACAAAATGCGGTGGTAGCGCAAGCTGTTCGTTAAAAATCCTAATAGCATATGATGATTTAACTGATAATTTCAGCAGTATTCAATTGTTCGAGATTCGAATATTCATTCCTGTATTCGCAGCGAACTTTGTTCGAGAACATTCTTTCTGTTCAAAATCGTACCGTTGGGTCTTAGTTTCCGCTAATTCTTGGAATTCGATACAATGACTTTTATTACCCTGTGTGACCCTTCGTCTCTAAACAGTTCTCGAATGTTGCTAATGTTCGCTGGTGAGGGTTCTCGTTCCTCGCCATTTGTACTCATTCGAATATTTGAATTTCATGCTATTTCATACTTTCATTCCAATACTCAATTCGCACACACGATCGGGTTTGGGACCGACTGGCGCCTACGCGTGATAAAGAAGAGAGTATCGGTTGAAAATCTAAAAGATAAATTGATCTTTACGCTTTTGCGCAGTTAACCTGAGGAGACCCCTATAATGCGAAGCACTGGCTAACTGCGCAGCGATCGCTGTTTACTATACCTCTCCTCGATCGAAACCGAGTTTTTCTATCTCGAATTCTGTTGCTACGCAGTTGAGCACGACGATAGTTTCAAGGAGGGGTAATAAACTAAAGAAAAGAATTGAGAAATGAAAGAGAAGCTAAAGGAAAGGAAAGACAAAAATAGAATAATTATAAGCTCAAACTCTTCCCTGTGCATTTCCCACATGAAGAAGACCCTCAAGGCTTGATGGGAAAGCACAGAGTCGAGGAGAAAATCCAAATAATGTAGAAGTGATTTATCCCTCTCACGCTCCTTACATGAGGAGACCCCTATAACCCGAAGGCTTAATAAGGGAACGTGAGGTGGACAAATTTGCAAAATTTTCCCAGACGTGACAAATCCTCCCCCCTATGGAGGTTGAGCACATTGCTCACGCCACGCATCGCGATGTGGTTAACTTAACGTAAGATAGGTTCATAGACACAAGGTGTTGGCCCCTCGATGGATGCAGAGTCGTCCTGCATGTCCGAGTGCAGAGGCGCTTGTTTCCTCTGACCCGCGCTCGCTTCACCGACCCAGAGGCCCAGTACCGCCGCCTTTCCGTCGCTGCGCACGATGACTGTATGCTACCGGTGAAACTGGAGGCCAATGGTTACGCCCCCCCCCCCCATCGTAGGGTGTAGATTGGTAGAGTCCGTCTCAATTTCAGGAAGGCCGCAAGAGATTTTAGAGCGAGTTAGCCGCGAATATTCGCGCAGCTCGATAGCTTCGTAGGTGTCGTCTGTTCTGCCAGCAATGTTTTCCCTTCCGCAAAGGCCCCCGTTGTTCCTCAGGGTCATCAACGTCCTTCATCTAGGCATTCTCGCAACGGCCAGGTAGCAGGCGGTACTGAGACGACTCAAGGGCGATGAGCGAACGCGTCAGAGGCCCTTGGTCCTGGTGAAGGGGCCAAGTTAACTCTGTAAGGCGCCGTCCTCGGTTCTCCTCTCCTATGATGTAGATGTTGAATCCTAGATTAGTTTAAATACATTGAAAAACAGCACATACTTATGTACAAAATTCCGAATTGAATACGTGTGCTTTTGCTCGGTCTGTTCCTGTAATAATTATAAATAAATCTTAAATATATATATATATCAATAATAATATACAATTGATCACAATCATACATACAATAAAACACACAATCTGCTCACAGATTATACTTAATATATTAATACCATGTTAATGGTTTTATATATTGTATATGTAAACTGAATACTTACAATCTTCTTCTTCTTTTCATTTGCATCCAGGTATCTTGTTGCTCTATTTTAATAGAGGCAGCCTCTGACATGCAATATTTATTACAGCCTCTGCAATAAATATTTTCATTAACAATTATTTACATATGCTATAAAAAGTATATAAGAGTTATTACCAAATAAGTTCAGTGCTGGAACTGCTGATGTTGTTAATCTTTTCCTCATGAAGTACTTTTCTTTAAAGTAGCTGCTACAGATCACCCAGAATTTCAGTTTTCAGATGGAAGCACCGACTTTGGGTTGTCACATACTTCCACCCACTGTGCCATCCTCTTCTTATCCTTTCTCTCTTGGGGGAAGAAGAACATCCTGTTGTTTTCGTTAATACACTCTCTGATGCTACTCTTTCTTTTAAGATACATTTTAATAATTAAAATTAATTATATTACGAAAACAGCAATGTAAACAGTTCATACTTACTTAATTTCTATCTTCTCCTCCTGTTGCTGCATCTCATCAGCAGAAGTTATTGAAAAACCTAAAAACGTAGAAAAAATTTTAAAAAATATCTTTTTAAATAATAATAATAGTCATAATAATAATAGCAATAGTAATAATAATAGTAGTAATAATAATAATAGTAATAATTATAATAATGGAATTCACGAACCTGGAAATTTTATCACCACTGTCAGTCACTGCGCGCCATATTTCTTCAGTCTCTTTAAATTTTGAAACGATTGAAAAACGTGGTGACAAATTTCGCGGGAACATAACGTCACGATATCTTTAGTTGTGTATGTTAAAATCAGTGATACAAGGTATACATGTAGAGAAGCGACATCAGCGCCGCCTGGATTTTCTGCGCCGAGTTAAAATTTGCATGAAATTCACAAGTGTGGAGCTTGGATGGAGGGCCTGGTTTGGTTCTTCGCGTGCGTCGTTCTAGACTACCTGTTGCATCATTTTATTCACACAGAGATGGTAAGGATACTTTTTGATTTGTGTAAAATCACACGTTTGATAAAAGTATTTCTATTTTGCTAAAACGCACAAATATAATTTCAGTGCGAATGAAATTGAGAAAAACTCGACTTGACATGGGAGGAAAACTCACGAGGTCGGACGACAAGGTAAGTATAAATTGGTACTTATATTTTAAAAATGTAATTGTTTTGATGTATGTTAGGTAATTCTTTTTATACGCTTGTTGAATTGGAATTGCAAAATATCAAACCAAATAAATGATAAATCGTAATTAAGAAATTACATATGTATTGTCGAGTTCACCAGAGTCCATAACTGCTACGCGCAGGTTGGAAGATAGTGGTGGAACTTAGTGAGCTTCGAACTCCTACTGCGGTAGGCGCTTCAATCGCGAGTTTAATGTAGCGGGTGAAAGAATAGTAGGGTGGATTAGGGAGAGTACAGAATGATACACGTGAGTAAAAAGCCGTGCGCGTCTGCACACGTTGAGTCCGTATAATATTCATAAAAAAATATCCATATGTACATTGGTGCGCTATTTATATGCTTGCAAGTAAATGTAGTATTTAAGGAATATGTGTACAGAATAAATAATATTTAAATATCGCTGTCATCGTCGGAGTCCTCCGATTGATCCGCCCACTCACCAGTATCTTGGTCCAGCATATTATCTGTTATGTTGTCTATTTCTTGGAATCTGTTCTCTTCATCCCTAGTATGGCGAATAAAATTTTGCTACGACTCAGCGGTCACATTTTCTACGGCTTCGTATAGTAATCTCTGTACATCATCCAGTTTGTACGTGGTATTTCGAGTCTTTATATAATGTTTGATTTGTGCCCAGGCTAGCTCGATGGGGTTTAACTCACAATGATAAGGGGGTAGACGTACCACAGTATGCCCGTGCTGCTTGGCGTATTCGTCTATGACGTATTCATGGCGTCTGTACTTGTATGATAATTGCAGCAGCCGTGCTTTGACATACTGTGGTTGAACGATTTCCCCCTTACCAATGAGTCACGCGATAATATCGTTTTTTTTCCATCCCATGGTTGGAAATTTTTCTACTTTGGTGCTGTGGTATGGAGCATTGTCCATAACTATCACAGCCCCATCCCGTAGCATGGGCAAAAATGTGCGGAACCAGTCGAAAAATACAACGCCATTCATTTCACCGTGGTAGTCTTCCACATTTTTTTTGGATTGGAAACAAAGGAGGGCTCCAGGTACGAACCCATCCGATGACCCGACATGTCCTATTATTAAGCGTTGGCCTCTATTTGCGGGGGGTCATATGCCCGTGGACAGGCCCCTTTCTTCCGCGTTTACGGGGCAGGTAACGGAAGTGTCCACCCAAAGTTTTCTTCGGACATCTCCTGCGTTTATCCACGATTCGTCGAGGTAGTAAATTGGCCGTCCTTCAGCACGATATTTTTGGATGTTTTCTATGTATTCCTGCCTCCAGGCGATAATATTCTCCTTCTCTATGAGCGCGCTATTACGCGCGCTAACCATATACTTGGACTCCATTCGCTTTAAAAGGCGGTATAGCGACGTTCGACTAAAATTTGGAAGCTCTGGATCCAGGTTCACGGCTTGCAATATTTTATAACCGTTCGGAATTTCTCGTCGCAACCAAAACTCATGTACCTACCTCCTTATGGCCAGTATATTGTTACGTCCGGATTATTTTCAATAATCCGACCGTGGCTAACATTTATTTTCATCTTCTTTCTGATAGTGTTGAATAATTTAATCGTTTAATATACTGAATTTGTGTACCTCGTCGTACTTGGAGATAATCCCAGGCGAGGCGCACAAAGGAGGCTATAATTAGTTCTTTTCAAACAATAAGAAGTTAACCTTCCTTGGGATGATTGCCTAGTCGAAACTACGCAGCGACAAAAACTTCGCAAGTCGAAACCGTTTAGGGAGAGGTATCATAAACATCTTTCGCCGCGCGGTTAAGCAGTGCGACGCACTTGGAAATTTCCCAACTTAACCGTGCAACATAAAGAAGAATTTTCTTCTATTTTATTAGCGAGGTACCTCTCATAGCTGCAAAGCATGCGTCAGCCGGTCCTTCCACCAAAGAATGAATGCGACTAAGAACGAAAGTGATTGGAATTGAGCGAAATGAAACTGTTTGAATGATATTGGAATGCGAGGGTTTGCGTGACAACCGCTGTAGTTCAAAATTGGTCACGAATGTTCGAGACAAAGGTCGATCGAGACAATAAACATCGTCGTTAACGTTAAACGTAGAACGTTTCGAATATATGTAAATCGTCGAAATACGAATACGAACGTTAATAACTAATAAGCGCGGAACGAATGTTAACTAAATGCGACGCGCATGTATCCGCAATTTGTCGACGATTATAAAACACCGGTTGCATCTTGCGCAAACCGCTAAAAAGAGATTGACAGAATAATTAACGAATGAATAACAATTAACATTATTCAATTAATAGTCATTCAAAACAGTAAATCAAATGTCTGTAATTAAACGAAAACCTCTTTCGATACCGGAAATGTCATTGATAAAAACCTCTTTAATTAGCAAATTCGAATAAATTAAGTCGTAATAGATTTCGAATATTCCGGAAACTTTAGAATTGCGACGCATGAAATCCGCGTAGCGTTAGAGGGGTAGTGTTACGTTGCGCGCGAGTGCGACGGCGCAACGTAAAAAGGAAAGATAAATAGTGGATTTATAGGTAGTTAAATTTCAATTAGTTGGTTGGAATTCAACCCCTAATTCCTGCTTCCCTATTTTAGCGCGATGGTTGGTATCGCTGCCACCAGTCTCGAGCGTGTTAACGCTCTCGACAAATTAAAAGACGAAAGACAAAATTGATAAGATGTTAAAAGATTATAATTATTAGCCTTTCGTTGGGTTCGTTCAACGCTTGGTCCCGTACGGGACCCTTCTTGAATCTGGGTATGTTGGTAGGCGTGTTTTAACTGAAACGTGCGAGGTGTGTTCGAAATAAATGGAAACTGTTTAACTAAATGAAACTGGTTTAATCGTGAATGAAAATCAGATAGTAGCCAAAAGTGTGAGTTCAATAATTTAGAAATTTGGTTAAATTGAAAATTACCAGTTCTGCAAAAAGGTGAACAAGTGTAAAGATGCTTAAGATTAGTTAACAAGGTATATATATATACGAATATAAAACACTCTGATATCACATTTGAAACCGACGAGTATATTACCGGGCGCGTAAAAATGATTATAACAATTTCGCTCTCCGAATTTAACTATACGATTGGCGGTTTCCGCCTGCGGTACACCCCAGCCTGAGAAATTCTCGTAACTCTCGAAAGAGCTGGACTAAGGTGCCCTTCGGATGATGGAAAGAAACTGGAATTGCGAAATTGTAATAACCGAAAATAGTATTTAATATTGGATGATATCAATACCTCGTACGGTGGAACGATCTGACCTGAGGAATTCTCGTAACCCTGAAGGGCTGGACCAGATCGCCCGTTTTGCCAATTGAATAAACGTCGTGATCGAAAAATGTAACTGAAACGACTTACCGTTACGGTGTACAATAAAATACAAGATAATTCGCTTGCTAGGTTTCGGTGTATTCACTCGATGATCTGGAACACCAAAGAAACGGTAAGATCGTCGATCACTGCACTTGTCGCGGCGAGAAATGGATTATTACGGACGAGTACGTCGACGAGAGACAAACGAATATCGAATTACGATTAATATGAATTACAACGAATATAATTACGCGATATGAAGTTAGTACGAGAAACTACGCGAGCAAACGATTTAAAATCGGAAAGAAAAGATAGAAATTTAGGTAGAAGGAAGATTTTACGTGCGCGTCTGTGAGTCCTTATTCAGAATACCGATTATTTTAACTCGCACGGCACTCTGCCTCGCTACGCGGAGGACTTTACCGCAGAGAAAATATCGCGAATTTCCGAATAACTCTGTCTCTCGGACACACGGGCTCCCGATCACGTACTTACGATTGATCGATCAAGAGTGCCAAATTTCGTGCGCGATCGACGGCCGAGGGGCCCGTCGCGCGAACATCGTCCTTGGACGGTTTGGCGAATCGTAGCCCGTTTTCGGAAGTGTCGCGTGCCCGGTGATTGGCTAAGACGCGCGAGCTAGACGAAGATCTTTCATCCCCTTTTTTTGGTGTTCCTTCCTTTTCTCACTCGTTGCCATGATAGTTTCAACGGTTTCCAGAAACTACGCAGTATTTCTCTTTATACATATAATTAATTAACGGCATTTATTCGAGATGTAACTATTAGTTTAATTGAAATGCAATTTGAGATTTGATATTGAAATATAGATTAAAAGTGAAATATCGGGTTTGATAGGAAACCGTCATTCGTATATCGTGATCGAAATTATTCATCCCCGATTTGCAATAAAACAGTATGATTTTATATGTTTAACAGCGGATGATGCGCTTACGGTGGTTGTAACGCCGTGGCGAATTATGCAATCTATCGCGCATTAAAACTATCGCCTCGATATATCCGGCATTTCGCATTTTATAAATTTTAAACAA